AAAGTCACCGTCCCTTTCATCCTCTAGAAACCATTCTGACCCGACGAGCCAGCAGCCGAGAGCCGACACCGGCACCACCAGGAGCGCCACCGGGCAGTTGCCGCCAGCGTTCTCGCCCTGGTCGGCATACTGGCGCAGAGCAAGCTCCTTCTGGAACTCGCGGCCGAGCTGACCGTACATGGCGACCAGCTGCTTGCAGACGGTCATGAGAGCCTCGCGCGGGGTAATCGTGCCGTCGGTCTGGACGCGCAACTGAACCTCAGGGACGTTAGGGTGGCCGACTGGAGTGGTGCGGGGTTAGCACTGGAGCTGATTGCGATTTGGGTGTGTGTGTGTGTTTGTTGTGACGGGAAACTTACTCTTGTAGGCTGCCATCATGACGTGAGGTGCCATCTTAAGGTAGACGCTGAGCAGATTGCCGAGGGTGTGGTCTTCCTTAAGCATCAGAAAATCGGAGCAGTTGGACATGCCTGGTAAGTGGTTAGATTGCGGTGCTAGTGGTGGGATATATCGATTGCGAAAACCTACCGCTCACGACTGTCTCGGTGATCTTCTTCTCGCCGTCAGCGAGAACGAAAAGCTCGAATCTAAAATCGGGCCTGGTTAGCAAGAATCCAACCGGAGTGGCAAAAACGACCGCTAGTACAGGAAGCCCAACCCGTGCTGGAGGTTGTTGTCGTGTTTAAAGTTAGTCGAAGCCATTTTGATGAAGATCGATTTGCTTTGATAGATCCCAGTCGTCGAAGCCTCTGCGAGCTGATGCTACTCGACTTTTGTGTCGAAATGAGAATGAGGGGATTCGAAATAGTAATTAAATCGATCGCCCAACAAACAAGTTGAAGAGTGCAGGGCCGGTTGCCCTAAACAGCGAGCATGGGCCGCCCATCGCCCGCGGCTTGATGGGCTCCTGTCTTGACGCGGGCCCTGCGGTGCAGACTATGACATCGTACACTGTGTTCGTGATGGACGCCTTGCTGGGGAAAGTGCGACTGCCTGAGGGCCACACTAAAGCCAAAGCCTCCCCTGTCCATCCCCCTCCATCTCTCTTGTTGCCATGTCGGTCGACTCACGACAATTCCAGGGCTCGACTTCCTCCCCAAACCCCATTAACACCAAAATGTTTGTCCAAGGCCAGTCCCTTTGCTGCAGCGTTCACCCCCTTTCACACCAACCCCAAAAATCCATCGAAGAAACTGTAAAGAAAGATGGTTGGCCTACCTGTCGGGCGCGTTCATCGTGGCGAAAAGAATGTATACAATATTCTATTGTTCAACGATGATGCTGAGAGAATATTGATATTGGTGAAAGGCGGGAAAGCGGCGAGCAAGGTGGTGAGCAAGGTAATAAGGGAGGTGGTTGAAGCAATGTGGTCGTGATACAAAGTGAGGTGGAGGTTCGGTTCACAGTTGATGAGGAAGCTCTCAAAGGAACAGTCAAGGCACGTCAACAAGAAGCGAGGATCCCAGTGCTGGTCCGTGCACGTGCCTGCTCGTGGCGACTAACAAGTGTGGCCTGCAGCAAGGCGATCAACAAAGTGTGGAGAAAGACAACAACATCAAGGGATCAGGAATCTCAGTATAAGATAGCACATGCATTCCGCTGTATCTCCGCTATATGCACAGATGGCATGAGCCTTCTACTGTACACACTCTCATGACAACCCCCATCAATCTCTTCTACCACCTATGACCATCGTGTATCCCTATCCTTGTCTCTCTAGGTACTTCTTAGCCATCTACCAACATATAACTACACAATGAGATGCCTGAAACAACCAAAACTTGCCCTGAACCCAGCTCCGCCCATGCAAATGAAAAACGCCAGCAAGTGCCATGCTCAGCGACGGTATCTCGCAACCACAGAAGATAAAAAAATGACCTTCAACTCAATCCAAGCCGTCAAGTATACCTACGCAGGGCCCTTGCTCTGCCCCATTCTACCCCATTATAGTCCCTTTCCCTCGCAGTGGCTCGGCAGCCCACCACCGGGGCTGTTGGCCCAGCTCATGACCGTCAGGCTGGTCGTGTACGCCATGGCGACGAAGCCAAAGATGCAGAGGAGGATGTCGGACCACCGCCGGAGGGCCGACTTGGCTACCGCCTTGTAGTGCAACATCGGCTAATACCATCATAGTTAGCACAGGAACATGGGTGAGGCAAGAAGGTTTTAGGTCTTAGGAGGTACTCACCGGGTAGATATACACCAGCGGGATGCAGGCAAAGTTGCCGACCAGAGCAACGAACTTGTCCAAGTTATCCGCGCCGCACCACGCGACGAACGCGCACAGGGCCACCACGAAGAAGCGGAACACGTTCTTCTGCCACTTGATGTACGGGTTGTACTTGCCGCTCTTAGTGAACAGCGCGTTCTCCGTGATCCGGATGGCCGGGAAGATCTGCAGCGGCGTAGACAGCAGGATGGCGAGCGAGTAGAGGAACTGGACGCCGTTGACGAGCTTGTCGTCCTGCGGCAGGTTGAGCAGCACCACCGTTTCCGTCTTGGAGCCGTAGGCGGCGTACGAGACGGCGCCCATGACCACGAAGAGCGTGGTGATGATGACCATGACGATGAACATGACCTTGGGGAACTTCTGGGGGTGGCGCATCGACTCCTGGATCGGGATGATCAAGCCGATGCCCTCGAACGTAAAGATGGCCGTGCCGATGAAAAGGGTCCAGTCCTTCTGGTTGAACATGATGATGTCGGCGAGCCCTTCCGTGTTGAGCGTGAGGATGTCGTAGTAGAAGAGATAGGCTAGGCCGATGACGATGAAGGCGTCGGCGATTAGCGCGGTGAAGCCGAGCTTCCCGATGTCGCGGAGGAGGGAGAAGGGCAAGAACACCACCATTTGCATGATGATGAGCCATGTGACGGGTATCAGGGTCTTGCAGTCGGTCACGGCAAGAATGAAGGCTTGCAGATTCTCCGAGGTGAAAACAATGTAGGCCGCGACAAAACCCAGCTGACTGATGACGATGGAAGCCAGAATCAGGTTCCTCATCCACTTGCCGTAGAGGATGCCGCCGATGTCACCGAAGGAGCCGTCGACCTTCAGCCTCGTTGTAACCAGCAAAACGAAGCAGTAGTAACTCAGCGCCGCTACGAAGAGGAGAACCAGGTTGCTGAAGAGCATGCCGCCGTTGAGGTAGGCACGGGGGAGGAACAGGACACCGGTCCCGACAAAGGACTTGAGGAGGAGTAGCGCCGCGTTCATGGGGCTGTTCTGGCCGCTACCTCCGCGGTGCTTCCTCCTCCTCTTGCGCCGTGACGGTGTCAGCAGCGCGCTCTCTTCCATGGGCTCCTCGTCCGAGCCCGACTCGTAAACGTCACCCTCACTGCCAGAAGTGAAATATTCACCGGGACCCAACGCCTCGTCATCTTCCTCGAGCTCTTCACCAGCGAAATGGCCGTACAAGCTCAAGAACTCAAGGAAGTTGTTCGTAAAGAGTTGAGGCGCCTGGTTCTGGCTACTGCCCGAACCATATTCCGCATCATCCCCGTCCCTGGCGGCCCTTCGAATGAAGTTGCGCCGGAAGCCTCCGGGGACCTTGATGTTGTTAATATCAAGCTCCTCGGTCTCCGGGTCCGGCCTCACGACACTGAAGCTCTTGCTGCGCTGCATCTTGCCCCGCTGGTCCACCTCCTCTGTCCATTTATAGATTGGCCGAGTGATGTCGCCGCCTTGTAACTGCAGGCTCGAGAATTCCTCGTCCAGGGTAGACTGCGTCGCGCCGGCAGGCTGTTTTCCCTTGGAACCATCGCTGGCCCTTCTCGTCACATCCTCTGATGACCCATCGCCGGGCCGCACCAAATGTCTTTTGATGATTTCTGGGTCCTCGTATGCGCCGCCCCATTGTTTCCTCCCATCGAACGAGCCGTAGTTTGTAGGTGTCCCGGTGGCCGGGGCATTGACGGAAGCCAGGGCGGGGGAGGCTGTGCGGACAGGCGGCGTGCCGAATCGTGGCGGTGACGCGCCCAGGGAATTGGAGAGGGCGGCGGCGAGGGCGGAAACACCCGGGCCAGCAACGTGCGAGCCGGGCCCGGGGAGGGGAGTCAGACCGCCACTGCTAGAATCATCGCCCGCTGATGGCTGCGAGCGTACCGCAGGAGACGTCCCGAGAGTCACCGGGGAAGCGAGGCGGGCGGTGGACTCGGCGCGGTCATAGGAGCGGCCACGAAGGGAGCCGGGTGATGTCCCTAAGTGCTGTATAGGCGGAGGTGAATTCTTGATGGAGTCTGGCATGATTGCTTTGGTTGATAACTACTGGATAACCACTATCGCATGCCTTGGTAGTGTGACAATCGCAGTGATGGTTCGGCGGTCGGGGATCGGTGGGTCGGGAGCCTCGAGTCGTCTCCGATGCCGCAACTGTTCTCCCACTGAGTAAACAACCGGCGGGCCTAATTGTGACAATTGATTCAACGGCAGGAGAACGAACAGCGAACAGCAAAATATTGATGAGCACGTTGCCGTTCGGTTCTAACGGAGGACCAGCAGGGGAGGACAAGGAGGCTCTCGGGACTAGCACCTGACTGTGGCTTGTGACCTGTTGAAGGAGCCGATTGAGAGTTGACACACGGCGAATAGGGGACCGATCTGCTTGGGCAGCCTGCTGACGGCCCGGTGATGACTGTCCTAGGGGCCAAGGCTGGCGGGCTGAGGCTGGGAAATCGGTTCCACAGGCCGCTGGGGACGAACCCCCGCGCCAATGAGGGCTCCGATAAAGCGATCAGCAACGGAAGCACTGTGACCAACACAGTGTGTATCATCCGGTATCAGAGATAAGAGAGGTTCGGCATTCCCTTTTCGTCAAATTCAATGTCATGTTAGATGCACATGCATCAAACCACCAATAACAGACCCTTCTGTCTTCCAAAAAGACCATCATCAGGGTTTAGCCTCACCAAGGCATATTCCAGAAACATAATACATCTATTTCTTCTGTTTCTCCTGTGACGCCTTGCTCTGCCAATCCGCTATCACGGGGGTTGATGGTTTGTTTGCCAAGCCTGGGGCCCAGACGCCAACACTTGATTCGGAATGGTGCCTGCCGCTGGCTGTCTGCATGGATTTTGCCTGCCTGGAGGAGAGACTCCCGGTCGTCCCTGCCAAATGACGTCGTTTTCCCCCCAAACATGAGCAGCGACGATCGAAGCGTGGGACTGAATTCAGACGGTACACACAAAATTCAAGTTTCATCTTTTCTTTCTCTTTTTTTTTTTTTCGTCGGTCTTCGGCCGTTGGTTGTGTGAAGAGGCAATGAGCGCCCTTGGCTACCTAACCGCTAACTCAATTTAGCCCGTGATCCCTTGGTCCCTGTTGGCCGGCGATTGTGGCCAACGTCGAGTCAAGCCCACCACCCTGATCAATCACTAACCTGCCGGTCTCAAGTTACTGCAGACTGCCTTGCTGCGGTCTCAGACCATCCCCTCCACAGACTCTTCCCCTCTTTGTGGAGTTGACGATCTGCGCTCTCCTCAAATCGATTCTCATTGTGGTGGAGCGATTGCATGAAGACTTCTGGGTGCTGCCTTTGACCCTGAAACTGGGGGGGCTGAAAGGCGGTCACGGCGCGCTTGAGAGGGGCCAACGAAGGAAGAGCCGATTAGAGTTCCGAGAGGTCAGCTAGGACTTGCCTGCTAAGCGTCTTTCTGTGACCTCTCGTTTTCTCTTTTATTTTTTGGTTATGAACTGAGAGGCCGCTGCTTGTTTTCCCCATGAACTGTTTCCTACGGGCAATTTGACGTCGTTGCTCCTCCAAGCATCTTTACGTCAACACCGCCCAACATGGAGCCCGAGTCTCTCACCAAGAGGCACAAGTTGGGGGTGGTGTCCGGTGTTTACATCCCGGTCTGCCTCAACATTCTCAGCATTCTTATGTTCTTGAGATTCGGCTTGATCCTGGGGCAAGTTGGGTTACTTGGCATACTAGGTATGTCCCCTCCCCCCTGGTAGATGCTATGGAATACGGTTATACTGACACGACCAGGCCTCATGCTCATCGCCTACACCGTTGACTTTGTTACAACGCTCTCCCTCTCAGCCATTGCTTCTAACGGAGAAGTTAAAGGAGGTGGTGCCTACTACTTAATTTCGAGGTCTCTAGGACCTGAGTTTGGAGGCTCCATTGGCGTCTTGTTCTACCTCGCCCAGGTGCTAAACACGGCCCTTAATGTCGTGGGTCTTATCGACTGCATCAAGCTGAACCTCGGCGAGACCATGCCTGATGGGTATTGGTGGGACTATTTCTTCGGCACGATGGCGCTGGTGGTCTGCACCGGACTCTGTCTTGCTGGCAGCGCCATCTTCTCCAAAGCCAGCAACGCTCTGCTGATTGTCTTGACTATTTCCACCCTCAGCATACCTCTCTCCGCACTCGTGAAGCCGGCATTTAGTGATCCAGACAGGGGGATCGAGTTTACAGGAGCCAGCCTAGCCACTCTGAGATCCAACCTCCTTCCTCACTCCGGCAGCACAGAATTCAAGGGGTTCGAGACTTTCCGAGACCTGTTTGGCATCCTGTTCCCCGCAACTTCTGGCATATTCGCTGGTGCGTCTATGTCAGGGGACCTGCGAAACCCCAGTAAGGCGATTCCGGCTGGCACACTTTGGGCCATGCTCTCGACATTCATTGTCTACTTGCTCGTCATCCTCGCGTTGGCTTCGAGTACAACCCATGCTTCGTTTCTCCTCAACGCCAACATCATCCAAGATACAAATATCTGGCCCCCGATTGTCTTCGCCGGAGAACTGGCGACCACTTTCTTCTCTGCCTTGATGGGCGTCATTGGGTCTGCGAAGCTCATGCAGGCTCTTGCGAGAGACAAACTGTTCCCAGGCCTGTCGGTTTTCGGAAAGGGTACGAAGAAGGCAGATGAACCCATCATCGCCATTTTCCTCACCTATGTGGCCGCGCAAATGGCAATGTTTGCCAACTTGAATCAGATTGCGACGCTTATTTCCATGGGATATCAGGTAAGAACCGCGAACCGTGACCAAGGACGATAGACAACCTAACACCCGCTAGATGACCTTCTTCGTTATGAACCTTGCGTGTTTCCTCCTTAAGATTGGATCCGCCCCCAACTTCCGTCCAGGCTTCAAGTTTTTTAGCTGGCAAACAGCGTTCGTCGGTAGCCTCCTCTCAGCCGCTGCCATGTTCTTCATTGACGAAACATACGCCACCACTGCCGTCTGCCTTTTGGTCTTCCTTTTCCTCCTCATCCACTACCTGAGCCCGCCCAAGCACTGGGGCGATGTTTCTCAGAACCTAATCTACCACCAAGTGAGGAAGTATCTTCTGCGCCTAAAGCCGGAGCACATCAAATTCTGGAGACCACAGATTATCCTTCTCATCAACAACCCCAGGAGACAAACTCGGCTGATCCAGTTCTGCAACTCTCTGAAGAAAGGGGCGCTCTACATTCTGGGGCACGTCATCGTCACTGATGACTTCGCAGCAGGCGTCACGGAGGCAAAACTACAACAATCCGCGTGGACCAAATACATTTCCGAGTACTCGAGGATTAAAGCGTTTGTACAGCTGACCATGTCTCCTACCATAACATGGGGCGTAAGAAATCTGGTCCTCTCAGCCGGCTTGGGAGGCATGCGGCCAAACATTGCCATTATGGGCTTCTACAACATGGATGATTTGCGCCGCGCCCAGCCCGCTTCTCAAATTCCCGAAGCACCAGTTTCACCTGTCCCGCCGCAACAAGGCGATTCTCAAGCGGGTCCCAAAATACGAAGAAGACGCAGGGGAGACACTTCCTCGCGGATTCTGGAGGGTATATTGCCCACCGATTCCATCAAAAATGAAGATATGATGTCGGTAACGAGCTATCTCACTATCCTTGAGGACCTGGCGCTGCGGTATCGCTTGAATGTCGCCATCGGCAAGGGCTTCGAAACCTTGGAAACGCCTCGGAAAGACGGGAGCAACACGAAGAAGTACATCGACCTCTGGCCGATTCAAATGTCAGCAGCAATCACGGCGGATGGGAAGAACGTTCTCACCACAAACTTTGATACATGTGAGTAGCCCCGATCGGCGACCTGGCTCGAAGCTTACCGGGGGTAGACACGTTGATTTTGCAATTGGGGTATATCCTCCGTACTGTGCCAGCGTGGAAGAAAGCCTACAACATGCGAGTCATCGTATTTGTCGAGTACGAGAGCGAGGTTGAGGAAGAGCGGGGCCGAGTCAAGGCACTGCTGGATAAGTTGAGGATTGATGCTGAGGTGCTGGTGTTTTACCTTGCCTCAGGCAGCCTCTCGACCTACGAAACCGTGATCCACGGCCACTTCACGAACCCGGAAACAGAGAACCTTGTCAACGAATGCTTGAAGAAGGAGGAGTGGTGGGAGGATCTGCAAACCTACAGGGGCAGCCGCTCCATGACCGAGGCGCAGGAATTCGCATCAATAGCCCAGGTCATGGGGTCTACTTCAGGCAGACCAGGGCTATACAACCCTCACAGTGGTCCCTCCGACGGCATCAATCGGAGGCGGCATAGTCTGGCACAACTCCCTGAGCTGCCTAAAAAGCCGTCGATGTCACAGCTGAACAAATGGGGCGTGAACATGGGGATTCATACTCAAAATCTACCCTTTAGCGTCTTTGACAGTTCGGACTCGGATCTCGTCCCTGACAGCGATTCGGACAGTGACTCATCGGAAACGGATGCGCAGTTCGCTGATGTGGAAAGCGCCTCCGGGGAAGACGCTTCCCGTCGACCGCTATTGACCACTGTTCGCCGGAGAAGGAGCTTCACCGATGTATTTGCTCGTGCAAAGAGCCCCCGGAGGGAGAAGAGATTGAAGGGGTCGCAGTCGCCAATGCAAGGCTCTTATGGAACCATGCCGGACACAGTACTAGAGCCATCAAGGCACAACAGAAAGGGGTCGGCGTCGTCGCAAACCCCCCGAGGCATTCTCAAACCAGAACGGCCAACACTCTCAAGGCACGGTTCTTCAGCCCCGAGGTTTTCAAGCAACCTGGTCCCCCAGACTACGATTACGAACGAGGATGGCACAGGGCCGCGGATTATGTTTGCCGAAACGGAAGCTCGCACCGAGCGGCCTGCCTTGTCTCGCCAATCATCGTACGGACGGGGCACTGGCGCAGAAACCGGTTCCGGTACGACGACTCCAGTGGATAAGCGGGTTTCGTTCGCAGAGCTAGCACCAGGTGCCAAGTCGCCAGCAATATCTCGGAGAAGTTCGATTTCGAAAGGGTCCGACAGCGGCGGCGATACCTCGCTCAACATCCCTGGGCTCCTGGCCTCGTATCAGCTCTCCGAGGATGACAGCAAAAACGGGTCAAGCTATTCAACGCAGGGGCTGTCGCTCTCTTTCAATGATCTCCCTAGCCGGGCTCAGCATCTCATTTTGAACGAGCTCATGCGCCAACACAGCAGCGACACGGCTGTGATGCTGACCACGCTGCCCATTCCACAGGAGAACACCTGCCAGAGCGAGGAGGCCAGCCTGGCGTATCTGTCCGACGTCGAGGTCCTCTGTAACGGGCTACCTCCTGTCCTCCTGGTGTTGAGTAACCACATGACTGTGACGGTGAGTCTTTAACTTGGCAAATTTGGGGTTGGGATGGATTCGTGGCATCATATGCCGCCACTTCTGTGCGCGGCCTATGCCATTGTTTGGGTGTCAAACATGAAGCGCTTGGAGACAAAGAGAGGGTGCTTGTTTAGTTGTATAAACGATAACGATGATGGAACGTCCTAATACAAAGAACACACTTGATTGCCCCCTTCTTTATTCGTATTAAAAAGTGCCTCGATCGCCACATGCCCCGACTCACTGTGCACCCTGGCAAAACCGCTCTCCAACACAACCAACCCCCGATTCTCTGCTACCGCTTTCGGGATTGGTGATGGCTATACAGCCAACAAGCACAACCCGCCGGACCCCTAGCCTTTCGCAAAGGCTCCGCGAGCTGGGCCGGCTCAAGAGCAAGACTGACGAGAAAGCAGAAAGAGAATTTGAGGTTATCCACACCCCCGACCGGCCGACACGGCTCATCACCCCCATTGAGGCGCCCACTGAAGTCGAATGTGGTAACGCAATTACAAGGTGGCAGCACGCATCGGCCAAGGAGCGACTCATACCTCCCTCAAGAGGCCAGTACTGGGAAGCGTATATGGTACGTAACTCTTCTCTTCGGCACGTTCCGGGGCGGTTGGAGAACATGACACCGGCAGCACCAGAGTGGTTTGACATGCAAGATGTCGACCTAACAAGACTTGAAATCCAGGATGACTCGGCCATTGCCACAGACAGTGATGACGATGAGGATGCGCTCGACCGGCTCTATGGTGGGAAGTTTGTGTACGGTCAGGGGGTGGGACGAGGGGGTTGTAGCCAGCAACCGGGGCTACAACACACCCACCCCCCAGAGCCGGCGCCGCCGAGACGGGACGGGCCTTTGCGAAAGGAACCCGGCACGGACCAAAGCTATGTGCCATCGTTTTTCCATGGTATTGTGACGGCCTCGCCTGCCCCGGCCCCCTTGTTCTCCGACTCGGTCTGGTCGCCGTCGCGAACAAGCCAACCCCGGAGCCCAAACGCCATCAGGGGTAACCCAGTTTCTGCACCGCGATACACCGGAGGTGAGTGCGTCCAGGAGGACGAGAAATTGACGGTTGACATGGAGCAATTAGTTCGCATGGAAATATACCGGCGCGGTCGCTGCCCCTATTGCCGCAACTTCTTTCCTGGGGGCTCTTTACCCCTGACTTGTCCCTATCTAGATTGCCAAAAGGATTTCAGCCTGTACCTGGAGTATACAAACCGAAGAGAGGCACCAAAAGCACCACCGAGGCTTGCACAGAGGGCATTAGTGGACACTAGTGCCCAGGAGAAGGAGGATATCGAGAGGGTGGGTCAGGGATGTCGCCCAATTGTGCCCAACTTCCGAGCCGAGACAGGCACCCCTCCAAAAGATCCAAAAGATCCAAAAGATCCAAAAGAGCAACGAAGACTGCTGAGGCACCACACGCCCCAACGACCATCACCACTGTCACAGAATAGGCGAAATTCTTCTACTTTCCTAGTCGAGGTTTCAGCCCTCACGGAACATGAAAAAGAACCACTGAGACACCACGGTTCCCGAGAAACTCACACGCCAACGCAACAGAGACGTCAATCTTCTACTTTCCGAGTTGAGGTTTCCACTCCCATGGAGGAATTACAAGAGCCGCCGAGGCATTACATGCCCCAGCGGCCTCCCCCGCCGCTAGAGCGGAGCCAAAATCCGGCTTTCCCAATTGGCATTCTCAGTCCCCAGGGGCAGCAACAAGAGCCATTGAGGCACTACGCTCCCAGAACATCTCCCCAGTCGTTGCAGCAGAGACAAAGAGACCCCTCGCCCTCCAACACCATCCGGACCATCTGGCCCTCCCATATGGGTATCTATGACGAAGCACAACCTAGCCGCCAGGCTACCTCTAGACCTGATGGACCTGAACGCCTGGAAAAGCCCCTTCCCCCACCCCCGGCTCGTTCAGAAAGGAGGCCACCCCCTACTTCCTTCCGAACACAACCACGGCGTATCACCACGCCGCGCCCTCAATCCATTACGGCCCGTCCCGGATTGGCCCGCCCCGGATTGGCCCGCCCCGGACCCCCCTCGGCTCGCCCCGAATCTGTCTCAACCCGGCGCGAATCCATCTCAGCCGAATCCATCTTGAGCCGGCCTGGATCCATCACATCACCCCCCGAACCTATTTCACCACGCCCGGACCCTATCTCAGCACGCCCTGAGCCCATCTCAGCACGCCCCAGGTCTATCTCGACTCGGCGTCAATCCACTTCACGGCCCGAATCTTTCGCAGCGCAGAGTCAATCCAACTCGGCCGAATCTATCTCAACACGCCCTGGGTCCATCTCAGCACTCCCTGAACCTACCCCGGCCGAACCCGTCTCAAATCGGGCCAGATCCACCTCAAGGCGTCCCGAACCTATCTCGGCCCGGCGCCGATCCTTTTCGACTCACCCCGAATCCGTCTCCACCCGGCGCCAGTCCGCCTCACGGCCAGGATCCGTCTCAGCCGAATCCGTCTCGAACCGGCCCAAATCCGTCACGGCACGCCCTTGGTCCGCCTCGTCCCAGTCCATCCCAAGCCGCCCTGGATCCGGGTCAGCGCGCCCCGCGTCCATCACGACCCGCCACCAGCAGCTTTACAGCCCCCAGTCGCAGTCGCAGTCGCAGTCGCAGCAACCCAAGACCTCGTATCTGCGCACCCGCCGCAACTCTTCTGTGCCTCCCGTCCAACCACTCACTTCCCCAGTCACCTCAGGCAACGTCAGCGGCAAACCGAGTCCATCTCCAACCCCGCCCGTGTCAGTGCTGCGGTACAGGAGCAGGGAAAGAGGCCGGGCCACCGACCCGGTCGGGAGTAGAGGGACGGACTGGGGTGGAAGAACAGATAGGGGAAGGAGCAGGGACACGGACCGGCTCCGCGACCTCGACCGCAGCCAAACCATGAACACCAGCCGAGCCGGCTACTTCGACCGCGACGGCGGCGCCCTGCTCAGCGACCGAGACGGAGGAGGCGCCCTACTCAGCGACCGCGACGGCGGCGCCCCGCTCATCGCCAAACACCGAGAAGACCCAGGCCCAGAACCAGAACCAGAACCACCCCGAGGCCGCTCCACCGACCCGACCCTCACCAGCCGCGAACGCCTCGACGCCCGTCTGCACGAGAAGATGGAGGCTCAGCTGGCCGCCAGCAAGAACAGCAAGCGGCGGCGGCGGCGGTCGACCCACGGCGACCGGCTGGACGACGCCGACATTCTCGCGTGGAAGGGCCCTGCCGGCAGGGCGAGGTATCAAAGGGAGACGATTAAGGCGGGCGGGGATGATGCGGAGCTGTTTATGGATATTATCGGGCAGTATGATGATGATGAGGGTTG